GATCTTCGCCCCGTACGCCGGCGAGCGCATCCACTGTCCTCCGCCGGGCTGTATCGAAGTTTACCGCCATAGCGTTCATCTCGGGCTCCGATTTCCTCTGCCCGGCATTTTGAGTGACATTCTGAGCGACCTCGGCATCGGGATCAGCCAGCTCGTGCCCACGGTCTTTGCGCGGCTGATGGGCTTGATCGTTTTTGAAAATTCCCTTGCTGTTTTGCTCTGAGAATCGCTCGAAATCGCAGAAAAGGTAAAGCTTCTCAAGGAAGACGATGGTACATATATATACGAACTTCGGTCCAATCGGTGAAGACCACGTGGCACCGTTTGAAATTCGAAAATTTAATGAAGAAAGGCGGTTCAGATCGGACGGTGAAGATCGAAGTAATCCGACGGTTTATGTGAACCGCGTGAATCCCACGCGCTCCGTAACCGCCCAACCCACCGAGACGACGCGACATCCTCCGTGGACCAATCAGCTCTTGTCACGCGTAAAGGTTCTGAAACGGCGCGCCTTTTTAGGGCCGACAGGAATTACAACGGTCACGTCGCATTAATGGAGACGTCGCTTCATCTCGCGTCATTAATATACCCGAAGCAGGAAAAGTCCGATTCAGAGGAAATCGGAAACGCCGGCATGAGAATCGACGAACTCGGGACTGAGCGTTAGAGTGACGGCCTCGAGTTAGATAAAAAAGCCTCTAACCCGAGCACGGGGGGCTGTATGTTGACAACCGATTCGGTCCGGGCCGGATCGGATACTCAGCCCCTCCGGATCGAAACAAGAACCCGGTCTGATGAGAAAGTGCCGAGCTGGACCGCGAATTAGAGGGGCGGGAAACCGCCCTGGGAACAGATCCTCAGCCCGGCGCCCGACTTAGACCGAGGAGCTGCCGACCTGGATGGGTGCCGGACAGGAAGGAGACTATTCGTAGTCTAAAGAACATCTACGAACGAAGTGCCGACCTGAAAGTATGAGGAGGCCGACCAGGGACGACGCATGGGCCTCAATGAACATTAAAATATTCCCACTTGGGAGGTCATCATTGGACGATGGGACAGGTAATCATGGCCTAGCCCCCTACCAACCAGCCTAAGTCAGCAAAGCCATCCAGCATTAAATGCCCCCCATGCTGGCATTTAA